TAAATAAATTAAATAGTGTGATCAAAGGACATAAAGACATTCTCCCAAAAGAGAAAAGAAAAAATGTGGTTTATAAAATTTCATGTAAATCATGCGAGGCATCTTACGTCGGACAAACGAAAAGAAAACTAAAAACTAGATTAGCTGAGCACCGCAATCACATTAACCGGAACAGTAACAACCAATCAGTGATCACAGAACATCGGATTGAATTTGATCATGACTTCGATTGGGAGAATGTCGCGGTACTAGATGAAGAGCGTTCTCTGAACAAAAGGTTAATATCGGAATGCCTTTACATTTTAATACAAAAAAATAGTCTGAATTTACGCTCTGATACAGAAGGTGTACATCTGAACTATATACAATTACTTAAAGACATCTAATAGTCTCAAAATACCGCTTATACGAATTTTGTTTTTATGCTTTGACATTATCTTTCTCATTTTATTTTTATTTCCTTGATTCTTTTTATTTTTGTATTTGACCTGACATGTCTTTCCGATTATATTAAGTATATTATTCATGTGCTGTTCGAGCTGCGATCAACATGTTTCTTGACTCGATACTTTATATTAAATATTAATTGTAATTAGTTGATCCAATGTTTATACGAATTCCTTGGTTGTCATGTGGTGAGTCACCAGTATTATAGTTAATTTGAAACTTGTTCAATGAGAAATTTTTATAAGGTTTTTATAAGGTAATTTTAATTTTCGAATAGATTATAACATTAAATCTGCGAATCTGATGGTGATTTTCCTTGACATTAAGGGATTGATATTTTAAATTTATTTGGCTGAAGATGGTTCCAAAGTGAACTGAAACGTACTGTATATGGAATAAAGAATCAATTTTTTTGGATTGAAGAAGTAAGATTGCGTATTAATTACCACGCTGACTCTCATTCGCCCTGTTTTTGAAGTTTTTATGTTGTTCAATTTTGGAGAGTCCGTAAGAAGACTACATTATTAATTATTGATAATATTATGTCATTTAAAATGTTTATAGTTTCATAAATTATTTTTCTTTACAGAATAGGATATATTTTTATTTATAAAATAGGAATGTTGGTATTATTGCCTACTATGTCAGTTTTGGAGCCTATTTTGTCAAACGCTCATTTTTGCATAACTTACGAAAAACTTAATTATTGCAAAATTGCAAACAATATCATAAAAATTGCTTATACTATCTGATAGAAGACACTTTTTACTTTGTATTTATGTTTTTGAAATTGTATTTTTACTTTTTGTTTAAGAAATATTGTCTAAAAACAAAGTGGTATGTCGGTATCAGTGACCTTCCTCTATCAAAATAAATTAACCTTTTACATTACCTTTGGTAATACAAAAATTAGTAAAGTATATTTTAAAGATTTTATTTCAAATTATACATTAATGAAATCTTGATCACACAACTTCTATTTTGCTAGATATGTTAAAGACACGTATTCTTTGAATCCTAATTATATGTATGTATTTTCTAACGCAGAGGAATACAAAGGGCGGTATTCATAGTCCGTTTTTATTTCAAGACTGTCTTAAGTAATGTCTTAAGATGCTAGTACGGTCCTTTGATTAGTGACTTCTTAAGACTGTACTTAAGACGGTCTTGAATATAAGATCCTAATACCGCCCAAAGAGATAGTTTTTGATATATTATATTCTATGAAGATCTCTCTCTCTCTCTCTCTCTCTCTCTCTCTCTCTCTCGAAAATGAACTCATAAATATATCCAAAAAAAATTTTTTTTTCCAATTATGTAAGAAAAAAGAAAAAAATACGATTTTTCGTTCTTAATTTCATGATTTGATAAGATCATAATAAGAAAACGAGTCTCAAGACCATATATAACATTTCTAATCAAATATCAATACGAATTCTGATGATATTGTGCCAATTGCGTTGTCCCGGTTGTCCCTTTTACACATAGTAGCAACTCTGATTTATAGTCGTCTGTAACAAATGGAGGAGGTGCAGGTCAATGCAGCCTATTGCGGCAAACGCCTTGTAAAATAAGAGCACGCTTCGAGAATGCGGCCAAAATGATGATTGTCGTTTAATAAACGTATTAAGTGGAAATGACAACATCTTGGTATCGGAGCTTGAGTGCTTCTTTGACGTTAACTGATAAAAATGAGGCAGAACGCTTATCGCAAACTAGGTCGTTGCAACTCATGTTTCAACGGATTAGATGCATTCGTGTTCAACGCAAGGATGCGTAGTTGTAGCAAAACGTAACTGATTCATTACTAGAAGGCTCTACAAAGTTTTATAAGTTTTCTCTAAAAACCTTTGATTAAACGAAATAATTAGAAGAAAAATAAAACAAATTATGTCCTAATTTATATAGAAAAAAAACTTTTTAATAAAGGTATTATTTTAATTTAACTTTGAATTTATTTTGTGCT